GTTCTGAAGTATCCCTCCAATGTGATGGTATCGCAAGAAATGCAAGTGCTTTCCCCGATTGCTTGCCCTAGGTCTCAGCGCAACCGTCAGCAATAAATACACTATAAAGGCCCACGGGGACTTAAAATTGCAAGCATATGCTCTTGTACATAACCCCTTAATTCCGAAGCATGGGTCAAGCTAGGTCCTGGATGTGCAAAGCATTATGTCCATGTTGCCGCTTCCTTCATAATAATTAGACCTATGTTGTGCATTTCTGAAGGTAGCATGGTTCCTTAAACATGTTTCCTCAAATCATTTAAGCTTCTAAGCGCACTCTGTTCCGTTCACAGCCAACTCCCCGTGTTTCAAAAATATCGAGAGATCCTCTTATTCTACGGAACTAATTGAGCCAGAACCGGGACTGCATGCATTTGCATTTGCAAACTTCTCGAGTTTCTGAAACTGGGTTTTTTAGATTGAACAAAATGCCGCCCCTGCGGATTAGTCAAATGCGCTCAGCACATTGGTGAATTTCTTAAAATATTGGCATGCCAGTCAACAGGGCCAAGCTACTAATAGCAGTACGCAGAGATGAGCAAGCCCACAGTCGTGAGACCTTATTGTACATGTTCAGTCTTATCGGAGCATAAGTCTGAGCAAACTTACCAAGGGCAGCGCAAGACTATTTGGGTGTTCACTGGTGCGTGCACCATTATTGCAGTAGACTCTAGAAGAGCTGCAGAGAGCAGCAGATACATTACAGAGGCACTTCAACGTGCGAGGACGTTTTTTTGTCTCAAGCAACAAAAGGCCCACTCGCAAGTGCATCAGATACATGAGTGAAATTGAACAAGCAAATTCTACAGTACGCTCACCCGCACAATATTGCAGGTTGTACGACAAAACAGTTTTCGTGCATTCATATCTGAAGCAACTCGAGAAAAGTACAGCTGTGAAGGGGCTGAGATTCTATGAAGAGTCTGAGCTCTCGTGGGGTCACCACATGACAAGGTTTCCAGCGGCGTCGAAGCCTGCCGCATACCACATCATCGATATGCCATATTAAGCGATTAGCACTTGAGATAGACATCAGCCCCGCCATCCTGCAGCTTTTGAGGGTTCCTACGTGCATGCAAAAATAAGACACAGACAAAAAAGGGTGGGCTAGGCAAGCACATAGTATAGGTTTGCCCGAGAGGTAGAGCGTGTGGCTCCAAACTTTGATGGGGTCGAACGCTCCCAGTATGATTGCAGGCACTAACATACCGCCAGTAGGTCAAGGGTGTTAGAGGGCTCAGGCTTTCCTGTTTGGTTGGTCGAGCGCACATCATCAACATTATGCGGAGTATTTGAAGTTAATAGATGCAAGACGGACTCTGTCCCAGCAGGATTGAATGGCTGCACTTCGAGAAAGCGGCAGCGGTGAACAGCTGCAAACCGCCGGCATTCTGCCGCAGCTTTAGCCCACAGAGACCAGTCACCGCCCTGAGGGGCAGAGCGCACTAGTACGTACAGCCAGTGCACCTAATGAGATTCCTACCTTTGCCGAATCTACAGAAGTAGCTGGCAGCAGGCTTGTTCATCTTCCCTGATGTGCGAGCTTAGACACTAACTCTAGGACTCAAGGCTCAGCAAGGAAGGTAAGAGTTTTGGGGTTAGCAAAGTGCATTACGCGCCGCTGTAAGTGTTGCACTCACTGCCGCAGCCAGGAACAAAGCAGGCTGACGATTTGGTTTTATCTGGGCTTGCGCTGAGTGGAGCATTCTCTGGAGCTGCTGTAGCTGATCAGACGTGTTATTACTCTCTACGTCGAGGACAAGGAGCAGCGCGTTGCTCTGTGAGCAGAGCTCCGCCCTCAGCTCTGAGAATTCTTCAGCACTGCTTAGTGCCCACAGTGTCATGCGGGCTTCTGAACCACTATGACACATTGACAGAATCTCAAAAGAATAGACATCAAGACTGTCTGCGGCGGCATTCTCTCTGGTAGAGGACTAAGACGATATTAGTTGCTCCTTCTGGTGAGACAAGGTAAAGCTCACTTGTGCTGAAGGCGACGGAGCCCCCAATCAACGCCAACAGGGTCTCGCAGATCAGCGCTTGAAGCGGCATTTCCCCTTAGCAGCCTAGAAAACAGTGACATTGTTGCCTTGGGACTAGCGCCCAACAGGGATACTTTGAAGTGTAAACACTCATTGGGCGTGAGCTTGATTGCAAAGTGTTCCCGTTTCAATAGAAGGGCCTGAGTGGAAAGGTGCTGCGATGGCTCGTCTACAGCGTCCATTTTTGTATAACCGACGATGCAAAGGACAATTGCGAATATGGAGCTGAAAGAGGAAGTACTGCAATATATTTTTTCCGCAGCTTGTTGCCACCTCCGCAGAGCTGAGAACACGGAGACAAGACGTCGAAGCGCCCTTTATGAGACTTGTAAGATCAGCCGTAAAAGGTGTGGACTTAAGCCCTTCTCCCAAGTTGACTGCAGTCACGCCACTTCAGTGTTTTACGCTCTACCTCTAAACCGAGTAGATAAGCTGTGTGAACTATCACTATCTCTTGAGAGGTTTGCCATGGCTTGTCCAGCCAGCATGCACATTTCACGTCTAGATGTACAGTACAGTTACTAAGGGCACCTCTCACGCGACGTCGTCTCCAGCTCGGAAGTCACTTTTGAATACGATAAACGAAAACACGTAGACCTTTCGACTTATGCGTTTCATGCCCTCGCTGGGCGTACAATGGGCATGAGAACCACAGCGGCAAAGGGCGGAATGCTCCGACAAAAACGATGACAGTTACACCACTGCCATTCACTAAGTCATTGAAACTTCTCCAGTTGAGCTGCTTTGGAGCCTTCTGGCATACCTGGTTGCAGGACATGTACAGTGTGAGCGGTATCTACTTCGTCGCCAGCTAACCACAGGTGAGAGGCCGAGGTGGCCGCCGGGTCACTTCGGGAGCCATAATAAGTTAAATAGATTGGAAAGATTGAATACTGCGTAAACCGTTAATATGAGTGCCTTCAAAGAGACAAAATGTAGTCTTTTCCTAGCCACACGAAGGATGAATGGCTTCAGAAACAGCCGACACGTGGGTTTGCAGCTTGTTCAAGGCGCGGGCCCCACTCGGTGCTCGACGCAGTCGGCTGTTGCACACCAAGTCTCATAGCGTGGATCTTTTCTGGATTTTGGGAAAGTAGGCTTTTAAGTTGGATTTTCTTTATAAAAATGAATAGATCGAGACATTCAGTAGGCCCCCAGAGGGCTAACGGCCTCTCCTGGTCCCGCGGTCTCTTTACGGTCGCTCGACTTGCGTTCCTTTTGATTGCCATCTTTGCCCCTTTAAGTTCTTCTCTTTCGTCAGTTGCTACTGAAGATAGCACAGTTGAAGTTGGAACAAGGTTTTCACTGAGGGCTCCATGTAAGACAAGATGCGAAATGCATACTGCTCTGACGGGAAGCTGACTGGAAATGCCCGCTGGAGATTCTGAACTCATTTACGTTGCGGCGTGCCTTCTGTTTTGATTGTTTGTTTAGTAATTTCAAAGCTTAACGAGGTTTTGACGTCATTATGGACTCAAATAACTCATAATGGGGAGCCCGTGGAGATATCGGGGTCCAAGGCTCAAGAGTTGGTTGAAACAACAATTCGCCGACTACGCGATTCAGGGGAAGAAGTCCCAGACGAATTTCGTGACCTTTTATTATGGCAGCTGACATGTAAGTTAATTCTCCACTCCTTGGAAGTCTCGCCTTTGCCTGTCGAAGTTTGTAGCTTTGGAAAGTGGTCAACGGCCTCTGCTCATGGACCCTGCTTGTTTGCGTCTGGTGCTTCTGCAGCGTGTTTTCCAATTGACGAAAATGCATTGAGAGGGATTCATGGAATCTTTGGAGTGACAAGCAGAGTCGTTTGTCCCGCTAACCGCACTTTCTCCTGTGCCTTGTCCGCACTCAATATTCCATTGGCGGAAGAGGAGCGAACCCCCATACAAGCCCTTGAGGCCTCTATATGTGGTGCGTCCATAAACGTTTAATCTTCATATACAATAACGGAATGGCTCAGCCTATCGTGCTATTGATCAGATCTCTTTCATTAACTCGCCTCATTTTTATGAATACGGAGACACTCAGCTCTGCTTCATTTTGCTCGATGCGTTTAGCTGCTGCAATACGGCACGTTGGACATGATGCCGCCGCAAGGCTTGCTTCACAAAGAGGTACCGGCTTGGGTCCAGAACAGGTACGGAACCTTACGCTTGAGGAAACTTCTTTGTCAACGACAGACGAAAAAACGGAGCGCCTTTTCATAGAAGGCATCCAACTTCAAATAGAGATGCAAAAGGGCTTTCAGCAACTTCAGTGGTCCCGATTTGGCCGAGCTTTTAAGCTCGCATCGGCTTTCCGCCTTGCCCAGCGTGAGCTAGCCAAAATTGCACCAGATTTGTTCTCACTGAACGAAGTTTGGCAGACTGAATCTACACGCTCAACTTTTGAGCACATGGGTGTAGTCCGCTAAGTTAGGATGGGCTGTGGCTATTTATTGAGGGTTCGCCATAAGTGGCCGACTTCATGCAACTGTCATTGTCACTCGCGTTCATCAGGCCTCTTCTACGAGCCCCAAGGTGTCGAAGGGGCTAAAGCAGAAGGAAAGGAGAGGCTCATGGAAGGCTCCCCCAGAGGAATCTTGCAGCTGGTTGACTGTGTTGCCAAAAGTGCTTGCTTCGGGATCGGTGAACAAGGATTTCGAAAAACCGTTGAAGCTTGTGTTGAGTCTGAAAGGGTGAAGAGTTCCTCGGTGTTGGAGTACTTTTTCCGCGTTGCCCCTACCAAGAAGGATAGCGTAGCTGCCCAGGTCTTTGCAAGTCCGTTAAAATGGGTTCTACCGACAGTGTTGCATAATTTGACATTCGAAAGTAACATTTTTCTTGAGTTGTCGAGTGGCTGCACGCGCCTTCTTAAGAAATGCTTTCCGACGTGTCGCATTTTTCCTTCTCAGCTTCTCTGCTAGTTCTCGACTCAACTATGCAAGGTCGGAGACTGGTTGCCTCCCAAGGAACTCCTGCCTTAGGAGAGCTACCAGAAGCTAGCTCTCTTTCTTCTCTACAGCAGGCCGTAGCTGTCTCTGTCGCAGCTTGTTCAGCCGAAGTAATGGAATCATTTGATAGTCATTTGCAAGCTCTTGGGAGTCTCGAAGCAATAAGCTCCAGTGAGTTGCTGGATTATGCCTGGCCTGTTTTCCACTCAGAAAACCCAGTTTATCTGGGTCACTTCTGCCAAGTGAATGTCTTTGCTTGATTACATCAGGCCCAGTGTTGTTTGCCTCCGTCGCCCTGGAGAATGCACCATTGCTTTTCGCGCTAAGCGGTGTTCAGTCACCGGAATCTCTCCAGTCGGAGTACGAGAAACTGCGCCAAACCGGATCAGCGCGTACGATTTTCTCACTGATTCACACGTTGTCACCAATATCCAGACTGAAACGGGCTAGGCAGCTGTCTGCGACACTTTAGTGGGAACGGTAGCCTTTGGAGATCTCAAAAAGACAAGCCATATGTTTCTGAAGAATTTGACTTGCAGATTTTAGTGCGTCAATTATGATAAATATGCGATGAGCCGTTAAAGTAATGGTGTGTATGTGATTCTACAGTTGGTTTAGCACTCGTCCGTGGAGCTTCAAAAATGATAGGCACCGCATGCGGGAAAGAAGGACATTTAGCAGCCCCCAGCAGTTCATACTTGGCTTGCGTGTCCAACAGCCTTGAAAATATTGCTTGGAAAGCCCAAAGGGCGCTGCTCAAACAGCACCTGAATGCCCTTGCATACTTCGCAGAGAAGCCTGATCTGTTGCCCGAAGGACCTGATTTTTCAGAAGCTTTGAGAAATTTTACCGCTTCAGCCACAAAGCTTGTGCAGACTTTACGTAAAGCAGCAGGAGTTTCTAACGGCGCCCTCGATCTGAGAGTCGACAGAGGTCGTATTTCTCTTCTTTTGGATGACGCTTTACGGCAGTTTGGCCGCACACTACAAGACAACTTACTTCCCATGGGGGTCACTTTCCTTGAAGACGGAGAGCTTTCCCTTTATGGCCCCACCATTTATGAAAAGATAGTTTCGTCCACCAGCGAGGCATGTAAGTATCCCGTCTATACTACTTCACCTGTAACCGCATGCCCTTGTCAAGTCACTCAGCAAGATTTATATTCCACCAAGACTTTCAACTGAGAGTTTGCCCGTGCAATTTTGTCGTCCAGCTCGTCAAGCTCCATCTTCAGGAGGCGGAGGCGAACTGAAGTCTTTCATGATCATGCAGAGGCTGAGGGGCCACTTAAACGAAGTTATTGGGAATGAATCGCTGCGACGCGCATACACCAGCACCGCGAACAAAACAGGGCTTTCTTCCAGAGCAGTTGAATCGAGTACGCGTTTTTTAATGCACGCGAAGCATGCCTGAAAAAACTGGCTTCTCTTCCGTTGTGCCAGTGTAGCTGAGTGCGTCAGTGAAGGTCCACCGGCTGTGCCGCCAAGAATAATTGGGTGCATTTTGTGTACAGCCTTCATAAAATCACAAGCGCGCCACATCTTCATATTTATCCAGTCACTTTTAGACAGTCGATCAGAAGATGTCACAACACGATTCAGCACAGCCGAAGGGCTGCACTCTTTTATCATAGAATTCTTGGCTGAAAAGGTGGCAAAAAAAGAGCCAGAAGAAGAAAAGTCCTCATTCGGAGGAAACGTCTCGGGCGAAGTTGTTGCCTTGGCAAGTTCAGTAAACAAGGAAGTGCTAAGTAAGTCAGAAAAAGTCACAGACGCAGCCCCAGTGTACCCAGGGAAATCTATTAACAGTCACAGCATAGATGCATCTATAATATACGCACGTATGCAATGATGGTGACAGCTGGCTGCCTCAGTGACAACGTTGCAGCAAATGGAGATTCCCCCAACTAATTTGGTGCGACACTAAGAAGATTATTGTCATGTTTCCTGTTCTGCACCATAGGAATATTTGCAAAGCGCATAAGTCTTAGCAGCTCTTTCCAGAAGGCAAAGCAAGCGGCGGGAATGAATGTGAGCACCTGGCTCAAAAGCGAATTCGCTGATTTTCGAAAAGATATACCACCGTCATACGTCATTGACATCGCTTACGGTAAGCGAGTACAGGCTTGACTTCAATCAGTGCAAACCCATGTGCATTGCTTCTTTTGCAATGCCTGAAATGAGCATCGATGCTTATAAACGCAACAAATCCATGCATGATTTCCTATTTTTTTTTCTGCTCTTACCTTGTGCGGCAGAGTGCCTAAATCGGTGCACCATCCCGATGCTTGCTGATACTCGGCTGCAGACCCAGTGCACGGATTCTCAAGGGAGGCCACAGCCCCTTGGAAAATGTGCCGATCCGGCTGCCGAGTTCCAGCGAATAATTAGCAAGGAAATGTGGGCAAATTTCTTGGAAGACTGGATGACACAGGGCAAAGCTCATTCGGCTTGCAGGGAACTTCTGGTGCTCCAAGAAGAAGACGCGTCAGCTTGGCAGCGGCAGGTGTTTCTCATGTACTCTCATCTCGACTCAAGTGAGCCAGCGTTAGACCACATGACTGGCAAGCACCCCGCCGGCAGCTTGATGCCTTGACGGTCAAGGCGCCTGTTCTTAGTCCCTGCATAGAACGTAAAAGCGCTTCACCTGCAGCTGCTGAACTAAGTGCATTGCCTGTGCTCACACATGCAGTTGGCTGCGGAAAGGACCACCATGGGTATGACTCTTTTGGCCGATACTCCATTAAGCTGGAAATGATTCAAAATTTGTTCGAAATGTTCGCAAGTACGGCGAAGTTTCCGACCCTGGCGAACTTCATTAACTGGCTTGTAAAACTTCGCGAGCCTCTTCCTCAAGATCTGCAGACGCCCACAGCCTTAGCGCTTCAATACGCCGGTGGCTATCCACAGACTCAAGTGCGGGTAAGCAAGGCATTTGCAATGGCAGTGAAGGGAGACCCTTCTTATTCTCAGTGCAAACCCGAAGACACCAAGATTATATCGGAACTTTTAGGCTCTCTTGGGAGCGTCTTTTATACCCTACAAGCTTTCGATGATTTCATCAAAGAAAGACGCACCGGGAAAGAAAATATCACCCGGCAAGTGACCGCACCAGTTGGTAAGGCTATTACACTACAACTCATCTCCCCACTCAGTTCCTGCACTCTCCACTTCAGGCAAATTTTCAAGGCCCGCTGTTTGTTTTGCTTTCTCCAATGTATAATGGGATGGGCGACTTCGTTTTGTTTTGCAGCTGCTGATGCTAGGCCTGTTTTGAGCCAGCTCATGCTTACATTCACAGCGACTGGCCCTCGAGCGCCGGATGCGGTGATACGCTATCCAGCGTACGTCCCGAGCAGTACTGCTGCTCTACTGTCCCAATCTGGGGCAAAGGCAATGCAAGTATTTGTGTACATACAGGATGTCCTCGGCAATGTTTCAGCCACACAGTTGACAAGTTCGGATGAAACAGGCCACTTGCTAGACGCAGCGCTTGCTACCGAAGCCTGGACAGTAAAATGTTTGGGAGCTTGCAACAGCTCTTGCACGTTGCGGTCGGAAGGAGAACAAGCAATTTCAATGTCCATTTCGAGTAGGCGATAAGAACAGTTCTAAAATTTCAGTTCACGGCAGCTCTTGCCGAATCTCACTCTCACTCATTGGCGCTCCGTTCAGACTTCCATTCAAGCACAAAGCCTAATTCACCGTTATGATCATGAAATCATGTGCCATCACCACTTTGTTTTCTCTCGGTTCCTTGTGTCTACCACAGCAACAGCGGTTGCCCCTTACACTTTCCCCGCAACTGACGATGAGAGTTTGGCGGCAGCGGTTTTCGGGTGGCTGCTGCCTTCTTTCCCCGCTTTGCGTTGCAAGGCTCCAACCAGAAAGGTGATTCCAGTTGTACTGCCTATCCCACCCCCTACGCTACCTCCAATTCCTGAGCCATCCAAGGAAGTTGAAGTTCCACCGAAGCCTGAACCTGAGGAAAAGCCGTTTCCTCCACCCCCTCCCACGGCTCCAGAAGAGATCGTTTTGCCTCCACCTGAGGAGAAAGTCCCAGAGATTCCAGAAGCCCCTGTAGTGCCAATACCGCCTAAACAAATATCCATAAAGAAAAAGAAACCAGAAATCGACATAAAGAAAAACGAAAATAAAGATGCAACTGAACCAGAGGAAATGATTACCATGATTCCTCCCAAAACGGAAGAAGCCCCGAAGCTGGAACCTAAGGAAGACGGTAAAATCGTGTGCCCGCTTTTGACGAACCCCCAGCCCAGATAATTACGTGGTAGTTCCTCTTGCATTAACCATCACTTGAACGTCTATATCCTGACTTCTTTGGCTCTTTGTATACTAACCATGTGTCTTGGAGTAACCGAAACGCAAGGTCAACTGCGTATATGGAGTCTCGTTTCGTCAAGTCCTCGCATATTAAATACTGCGCACCTTATTTTGCCGTATGTGTTGCTTCAGCATGTCTGAAAGTTGTGCGCCTTTACAACAAGTACATACAAGGGGCCGAAATAAAAGATGTCAAGACTCTGCACGAAGAGGCGATGGCGGTGCCGCTCTATCGGGAGACGCGGAAAGAACTTCAGATTGACCAAAAGGATATTTCGATGCAGCAGTTTCGTCTGGCTTTATGCGTCACTTGCGGTGAGCGAAGACTTGCTGCTTTCCTTTTTGCCCAACTGAAAACTTTGTTAAATGCTGATTGGTTTTTGCCGAACTTCGCTGCTCAGCGATGACGACTGGAGATGGTACTGTCCTAGTGTGATATTCTCCGTTGCAGCTAAACACATACCCGCTCTGCAACTTGCATCGGGAGAGGAGCAACAAAGGCTGGCTGCATCTATTGAAATGAGCAAAGATATATGCGCCTCTGTGTACAAGAAAACGTTATGGGGTAAGACCCACTTAAGACCCACTTTCATCGAAGTTTGTTCCAGATAAGCAGCACACGATTCTGCATGCGCAGTTGTTTCTAAATATTGTACCACAAAGTGCGCTTAAATTTAACTTGTTACAAGCAACGAAATGCCTAATTTTTTAACTGCTATGGCATGGTCGTCCGTGAATTTAAAAGGTGAACAAAAAGCTGTTCAATAGTTTTTGCCTGTTTAATACTGTTCTTGAAATTCAGCGAATGAGATCGACGGCGGCGCCCCACTGGCCTCTGCAACACGTGAGTATGTGCTCCACTCGCTAGGATTTGTTGGCTTCCTCGTGCCAGCGTTTCTAAAGACGTAGACAGACAGCTACTTAACTTCAGTTGCCTTTGACTTTTTGATTTGCAGCGGCTTCACTTCTAACAAAGAGCGTGCAGCTGAACCTGCAGGCGGCAGCCATATCCCACCGGCTGCTTGGAGGTGCTCAGCCGTTGCTACAAGCAGCTGAGAAAGAAGCAACAGCTGTAGAGGTCTGCGCCGCAGGAGAGGTCTTGGGAAGGTCCTTGCAGAACGCTAAGTGCATAATTCTCCGTAGGAACCCAGATATAAGCTCCCCATTCTTGCTGGCACTTGGCGGACTCTCAAGAGCAGCAGCTAAAAAGATGCGTGAGCCAAACACATAACCTGAAGGGGATACACCGTACACAAACAATGGCTTGGGGTATAGAGTTTACAAGCAATGACTTAGGGTATAGAGTCCAACTTATTCAATTTTATTTCGGGCCAAACAGAGCGACCTCCGTGGTGCATTCAATCATGGTTTAGTCAATGATGTTGCTGTATCTGTCCTCAGGTTTCCACAAAGAATGCTCAAAGATTGGTACGCATTTTTCGCTCTGCATCTGCGTCACGCCGCGGCTGTCACTATTCGCGGCTCTGTCCATAGCTGTTCACCTTACAAGTGTATCCGATGCTGAACTATTGAATTGTGCGATTGTTCCCCGTGTCCTGCTGCAGCGGCCGAACTGTCTTCGATTTTTGGAGCCTCGGTAAAGGTTGCAGGTCGGCGGGTGTCCCCAACCTCGTTGGCTGGGGGGCTGAGGAATTGGTTGTCTCAGGATATGGGGCTGGCAGCTTGGGCTAAGCAAGCTCACAAGAAGTTGAAATCCGATAGATCTGTGGCGGCGTTGTGTGCTGCTCTGCGCTACGCCGAGTTCATCCGACAAATTAGTTCGCTGGGGACCACATTCGACCGTATGCTATCGCATTGGAACCTTTCGCTGCCTTCCAACGGCCTGTCGCTCGTCAACGCCCTGCGCTCAGCTTCTAACCCTAAGCAGAAGCTTACGCAGGAGCTCTGCGTGCTCACTCCACCAGGTTAGCCAATACAGAACTTGTCGTGAACCGTAGGACGACTGAGCTATTGACATGAAATTAGCTGAGCGGCACCACAATGTTGCCGCTGCAACCAGTGCCCCTTCAGATATCTCCAGCTGCTAAGCTGTTTTCATGAAGCACCTTAATGTGCTTACATTCCGCCATTCATAAGACCGTTCACTAAACGCTTTATTCCCACAATGTGAACGTTGCAGGGCAAGAGGTGCAGCGCCTCGTGCAAAGGTTCGATCCAGCCTACTGGGCTGCCCTGATGTTGCAAACTGGCGAGCAAGGGGAAGCAGCGGCAGGAGCAGCAGCACCCGCAGCTGGTATGCCTCATAATGCTGTTACAACAGGAGTATTTTATGTGAAGCGTATTCAGACCAGTGAGCCTCAGAAGCACCAAACTGCAGGTTAACTTTCTTGATTGTGGCTTGCTTTGTGTTCTTCAGAATCTGCAAGGAGCACGGAAGCTTGATTGCAAATACAGAGATAACGGAACCCACTAACCCTGTGGGGTTTGTGCCTTTATCGGTTGCAATTCTTTATAGGGTGTAGGGCGAAGATGACCAGACGCCCACATGACAGCATGGCCCCAAGCAGCGGGCCGCAAATACCAATTCGTTTTTTCGTTATAATTTAAATGCCGAATTCCGGCTCCATGCAGCAGGATCAGTGCACATATATCTTAATATTTATATCTTTACACACGTAAAACTCTTCATTTGTAATATCTAATACGTAAGGCACATATATGAACCAAGCGCTGGCTTTGCAGGCAGTTGGTCCGATTTCCAGCCTCGTGCAGAGACACCTGCCGTTTTTGCGTGAAATTGTCACTGAACGTCTCGAAGTACAGATTAAAGAGAATTGGTCCCATAAAAAGGATAAACCTGGAACGTTAGTCTTTTGTTTCGAAATGCAAAGAAAACACAATGCAAGTATCCTACAGAAATAATAATACAAGGAGACAGATATGTAAAAACTGCATATACAGATACGCAGAATACATAAAATAAACTACCACCAAAAAATATGCCTACGGTATGTAGATGCCAGTATCTTCCATAACAGGCCACTTCGTCATTTTTCAGTGGCCGTCTGCACTGCCTAGTGAACTCAGAGCATCAAAGTCGGCCTCATCATTGCCGGCAACTGCAGATGCCTCTTCTCCAGGGGGCCCCTGGGGGCCCTGTAGCAAGATAGTTTGTTGTGGAGGGACCCCCTGATCCTCTATAGAGCCTGCTGGTGGGCCTTGCCCCATGGCTGTTTGCTGTTGCTGCTGCTGCTGTTGCAGCTTCTGCTCTCTTCTTGCTCGCTTCCTGTCTTTCTTTTGCTTTCTCCGCTCCTTTCGAAGTCTCAATCGCTCGCGCTCTTCCTCGTCGTTCACGTCAGGTTGAACGCCTAGGCCTTCTGGGATCCCTTGCAGCAGCTGTTGCTGTTGCTGCTCCAGCAACATCTGCTGCTGCTGCTGCTGAGTCAACTCCAGTTGCATCTGAGAGCTAGGGGTCAAAATGGCAGTCTGAGATGTATCGGTTTCTTGGGGGCCCCCCGGTCCCCCTGCCGAAAACCTTGGGAGGCCCCCAGGGGCCCCCCCTTTCCCTCGCCTAGGCCGCCCTGTTGCGTCTGCGCGCATGCAGCCTCAACAGCCAAAAAAGAACTATTTGGTCCTTCTGTTGCTCTGCATTCTCCTGACGGAGAACTGAGCTGCAGAACTCCAGGCGAAGAGAAAGCAAGGAGAAAAAAAAAGTACCTGCGCCAGGCACAGAAACACTGTCCGACTGAATCGAAAACAAAATATCGGAGGCGTCAGAGAGGTACTCGTCGTCTTCATCCACCAAGTTGAGCAGCTCTGTCACGTCTTCGGTGGTCAGTACCACTCGTTCTACCCGGGGGGTGGGCTCAGAGGAGGTGCCGGGCTTCCCTTGCTGCTGCCCCTGTTGCGACTGCTGCTGCTGCTGCTGCTGCTGCTGCTCCTGTTCCTGCTCTTTCTTCCGGGCCTCTAACATCTCCAGTTCCGTGTGAACTTCGATTTCGTACGTGTCGCGGCGCAGCCCATGCAACAGCTGAACCAGCATTTTACAATAACAAGAAGCGACGAAACAGATAACTAAAACATGCAATAAAAACAAAACCACAAGAGCACAGCAAATGGCATGCAGCCATCATACAGAAGTCCCCAGAGGCAGCAAACACGGTCTGGTTTGGGTCTTACAGACACCAGCTAGCCAGACAACACCTGCTGCTGCTGCTGCTGCGGCGATCGTTGCTGCTGCAGCAGGAGAGAGCGTTGCTACTGGTTCCTTGCCTGCAGCACTTCCAGCTCTGCGTCTCTAATCTCTTCTCTGTCAAATAGATCTATGTTTTTGAATTTGCGACTGCGAATGCGGTGGGTGGGAGGCGTCAGCCCTGCGCGCCACTCCCACTGCTGCTTGTCGCAGAGGTTGGCTAGATCAAGGTTGTTCACTTGTGGGTCAAACACGTACAGCATTTGGCACACGTCGCCTGAACAGCAACAGAAACCTCCACTTCAGGGTTTAGGGTTTAGGGTTTGCGGCAGCCTGGTAGAATCAGCAGCTCGCCATCTGCTGCGTTAACGCGCGCATAAAGAGCCACAGAGAAAAGCCAGCCACTTGCGCGCAAATTGCCAGAGTGTTCGCGCCTTTGAGCCATAAAGAAATAACTAAGCACATAAAAACCAAAACGAGTTGCAAATGAAATGCAAATAACAAGACGAAAATATTTAACAAAACTAAAATATCCTGAAGATGAATCTGCAGCGAACAATCTGGTGGTTGCCAATACACCGGAAAAAGACAGGAACAACCCCTCGTGAAATTCAGACTGAGTAAAAGTGAAAAACGAAAATGCTAAATAAAAAGAAAAGAAAGACTATCACCTGACTTAAACAAAATGTCGGAGTCAACAGACTTATAGGTTTCGATCAGCGTTGGCAACTCCACCAAGATTCCGCGCAGCCGCCCGCGGTATCCTGAAAGCTGGGAAAACCAACAAAAGAATAAATGGTGAACAAAAAATGATAAATATAAGGGAAATAAAAAGCAGGTAAAGGGAAACAAGCACAAGGCACAAGCATGCACACAGATATGAACGCAAACATGTGATTAACCGTTTGTAGCCCTAAACTACTTGCTTAGCTAGCTACATGGCTAACTAGCTAGCCAGAGGCTCGTGGAAAGTTACCTAAGTGGCTAGCTAGCAGTCAGACGTCTAAGTGGCGGCTAGCTATCCCTAGCTAGCTGGCTAGCTAGCTACGGAGGTGGACTGCTGAGGCTGACTTTCACGTCGAAGGCTCTGAAGTTGTAGTCAGGCCTCGGTATGATTGTGAGTCCAAGTGCTGCAGCTCCTGGCTCGGGAGGCTCAGTGCCTTCTGCTGCTGCTGCTGCGGCAGCAGCAGCAGCATTGTGCAGCCGCTGGCGCAGCGTCTCAGCCACCTCTGCAGGGAACCTTATCAAAGTTTGGCGATCCAGCTGAGGACAATCTTCACTCATCCAGTCCTCCAGCTCTGAGACAGAGAGCAGCCCGCGCCGCAGGGCTGTTTGCTGTCTGTACACCCCAAACCAGCAGCAGCAGCAGTAGCAGCAGCACCAGCAGCACAGGCGCATGCACGTGGGTAGAACCACGCAGCAGCTCCCAATGGAATCTACACTTCTGAATTCAACTAATATAAACATGTTTATAATAAAACAACAACTGTTTTGAACTGAAGGGCAGCAGCCCTGCACGAGAGCGAGCAAGATCGCAGTGGCTGTACACCTCAGAAGATCATGCATCGAGCTCCTTGACAGCCGATTAAGATGAAAAACTTTGAAATATCTGAATAAAATGGTTTCCATAGGTGGAATTTTGAACATAATAACGCAAATAAATACTTTAATTGCAAAAAGAAACTCAAACGTACTTTCTAGCGATCTCCCGTTCGCGCTGCTGCTCCCTCTCCATGTAGTCCGCCATCTCTAGGGTTTGCTGCGGGTCCTGCAGCCCTTGCCCTGAGCAGCAGCAGCAGCAGCAGCAGAGTTGTAGCAGCAGCTAGCTGGCTGCAGAAGCAGCTAGCTGACTAGCTAGATTAGCGGGCATAAGAAGAGGCTGGGGGCTGTGTTGTGGAGCAGCAGCAGCAGCAAGGCAGACTCACCTTGCGGGGTGGGGTAGCCGGGTGGCTGCTGCGTCGCGTACATCGGCTGCTGCGCATACTGCTGCTGCTGTTGCTGCTGCTGCTGCTGCTGCTGGGAGAAGTAGAGATAATCAGCAGCCTGAGACCGCTGCGTGTAGGAAGCAACATCAGAAGCCCCCCCATCAAGTAGAGAAGACGGCGATGAGTCTGGCCGTCCCTCTGCGGCGTAGCCTCTCCAGTCCTCCATCTTGCCAAACCCTAAACCCTCGACCCTAAACCCTAAACCCTAAGCCTGGGGCCCGCGAAGAAGGCCCTAGGCCAATTAGGAGTGCAACTGCAGCACTATCAATTCAAATGCAACGTTTAATTAAACAAAATAAAACTATTTTTACCCACAGAGCAGCTACGGAGCTGCACTGCAGGGGGCCCCGCTGGCCGCTGCCCACTGGGGGCCCCCGGGGGGCCCCTGAAGCCTTGCTGCAGTGGCGGCAATTATGGTCTAAGTACCTACTAATGGGTTATTTGAAAATTTAATTACGTTGGATTTATTCGTTTTCAATTATTTGAGACAAATGCGAATGGGGAGACAAACTTCTCCCCCGAAATGTCTTGTCGAGTCCTTGACTGTTCACGCCGAGTCCAGCAAAGATGCTACAGCAGCAGCAGCAGCAGTAGTAGCAGCAATAACAGCAGCAGCGGCAATAGCAGCAGCAGCAGAGAGATGCAGCAGCAACAATAAGTGTGCCCGATTATGACAACTACTCGCATTGTAGCGGGGCTTCGTGGGTCTCTGTTTAAACCAAAGCAGCAGCAGCAGCAGCAGCAAAAGCAGTGGCAGTAAGGGCATGGACAAACTGGTGCCACAGCAGCAAGAGCAGCAACAACGCCGTGCTGCTGCATTCGAACAGCAGCAGCAGCAGCAGCAGGTTTGGGAGCGCCGCAACATTTTCGAAGCAAAGCTGTAAACCACCGGAAAGAACAGCAGCAGCAACTCCTGCTGCAAAATCTGCAGCAGCTGCTGCCAGCGCTGCAGCAGCAGCGCCGCGGGCGGATGCTGCATTAGGATCAGCAGCATTATCGTCTTCATCCTCCTCCGCAGAAGCAGCAGCAGTACCAGCAAAAGCAGAAGCAGCGGCCACAGCAGCCTCATCGCCGCTGCAGCAAAAGGAGCGGCAGCAGCACCACCACCATCATACGTACGGGCAGCAGCAGCACCAGCAGCAGAGCCATTACCCGGCGCAGCAGCAAAACCACCATAACCCGCAGCAGCACCACCACCTCACCACCGCCATTCCCAGCAGCAGCAGCAGCAGCAGCAGCAGCAGCAATGTCTGGGGAGCTGCACCCGCACGACCAGCACGGGCGACATGGGACGCACTGCATTGTGCCCCACGGGGCGAAGGAAAGGTCGCAGGTGGAGGAAACCCTCAGGAGGGCCAAGCTGCCCCCGCTGTCTTTAGCCAGAGGTACCAGCAGCAGCAGCAGCAGCAGCAGCAGGAGTAGCAGCAGCAGCAATAGCATCACTAGCAGCTGCAGCAGCAGTAGGAGCAGCAGTAACAGCATCGCCAGCAGCAGCAGCAGCAGTAGCAGCAGTAGCAGCAGTAGCAAATGCTGTTTCTTTCGCTCGCTAGCAGCAGCAGCAGTAGCAAATAAGGCTAGTGCCACTCATCAGCAGCAGCAGCCGCGGTGGCCTCAGTTAATAATTTCTTGAGTAGCCAGTAAATGGATTAAATGTTTGATCAACGAACTGACCAGTTGGCTAGTAAACAATTAATCGGGAAGCTAATAAATATTTTAATTAATTAATATTCGAAATTGAAAATTAGTTAGCTAGTTGTTTAATTGATTAATTGTTGTTTTGCGCATGCACAGATGACTTTCCTTCAGTGGTGCTGTCTGAGCGCTACCGCGACAGAAGAATTAAACTTGACCAAGACAGACTGATTTGCGAAGGACACAAGGTGCTGCTGCTGCTGCTGCTGCTGCTGCTGCTTTGCTGCTGCTGCTTTGTTGCTGATGCCTTGCTGCTGTTGCTGCTGCTTCGCTACGCATGCCTTGCTGCTGATCCTGTGCTGCTGCTGCTGATGGTGGCTGCGACTGCTGCTGCTGCTGCCGCTGCTGATCGCTGCCGTTGCTTTGTTGCTTACTGCATTCAGTGCGACTGCAGCCTGCGTGCGCAGCTCCTGCACAGTTTTGTACAACTTAAATATCAAGAAATATATAATTAGACATTTGTGTATTAAATCCAGTACAATATTGTCTTCGTACTGACCAAACACCGGTGCAATATTCATGTTTCATCATAGAAGTGTGCATGTTCATGAACATTTAAAGTGGATCGGTATCCATACAGGTGCTCGCTAAATATACACTAGATTTATATAAAGTATACTTTATATAAACATTTTAAATTAATTTTTATTCCAAATGTGTTTCTGTTCCGGGTTAGGGCTGGTCAAGCGTTTTCGCCACGCATGCATGCAGCAGCGGCTGCTACTTCTTCGAGGTTGAAGCCCTCAGCCCCAAAACAGATACTTTGCATTTTGCCGGCTATCCCCCGGACATGCAGCCCAGGGTCCACCCTTACTTCAGGCCAGCAGCCAAACCCTAAACCCTAAACCCTAGAGCCTCACCTGAGGAAACCCCGGCGAACTCGAGCAAGCCTCAGGGCAACGGCTGGGAGCTTTTGAGGGGTTCGCAAATTCTAGGGTGGATAGGGGGCAGCACAAAAGATTGAACGCTCCAATTTGGTGGTTTAGGGTTTAGGGTTTAGCGTTTAGAGTTTGCGCTGCAGAGTCGGCTGGGCGTGCCGGTACCAACGCTTTGACCTTCCCATCGGCAGCAACTCTTTCTCTTACGCCATTTCCGACTTCGACAAAATTTCTGTTGTGCATGAGGCCAGGAGGGAGCAGCTTTTGAGCGACGTAAATATAAGTGAGAAACCCTAAACCCTAAACCCTAAACCGTGGTCTTGGAACCTGTAGAATGAATCTCACAGGGAGTTCACTGTGGCCAGACCAGATGGTAGCTACTGCTAATGAATGCTTATACTAGCCATTAGCTTCAATCCCAAACCCTAAACCCCTAACCCTAAACCCTTAAATAGACTCAAGCTGCTACTCTCTAGCACAGGCGCGACGCAGATGGCCTATGCGGCTGTACCTACAGATGTACATTCCTCCCGCGTGTTTGTGTTTCTTGGATTTATAATTGTTTATGCTCATTGCATTTACATTTATTCCAATTCTTCACGCTTGTTTGTGCTTCTTGTATTTATATTTATAGTTTTCGTGTATTGTGTTTATTTGGATCATCTATTTATATCCTTTCAGTTGCCTGCGGCTGCAGAAGTAGGAGACGTAATAGGCTGCTCCATCTGCATTCCTGAGCCCGCCGAGTGGCCGCCAGACCCTCGCGAAGACAGCAAACTCTATGAGTTCTTACTAGGCAAGCAGCAGCTACAGCAGCAACAGCAGGACTAGCAGCAGCAGCAACGGCAGCAGCAGAAATTCCCGAAGCGACGGCAACAGTTCCCGCAGCAGCAGCAACTACGCTCTAGCAGTACGAGCATGAGAAGCAGCGGCTGAAATAGTTGTGCTAGAAGCAGCAGTAGCCGCAGCAGCAGCGGCAGCAGCAGGAATGGCAGGGCATTACTACCGGCAGCAGCAGTGGCCGATGATATAGCAGGCGGCTGCCAGCAAGGCCACGAGAGCCACTGCGCAGCCTCTCCGTACGGTTTTAGAGTGTCAGCACTAGGGTTTAGGGTTTAGGGTTTGGGGTTTGCGCCTGCTGCTGCAGCCGGCATCCTCTGCTGCCCGGAGACCCCACCGCAACCCCGGCGGAGCTCAGCGGCAGTTTCTTGGATAGATTTTTTCTTGAATGGCAAGAAGTGAGTGAAAAGATAAAAAATGTGTTAAAATGTAATTTCTTATTTATAAATTGTTAGCACTAAGAACAAAAATCATTTCTTAAATTATAAATTTAGCCTCTGCGTGCAGACTGCCTCGGGCATTTTCTGGGCTGAGCGAGGGCGACTACCACCCGGCAATTTCCTTATATATGGGGGCAAGGCTTAGATTTAACCCAGGTAAAGCTTCTGCTGCTGCTTTTGCTGCTGTTGCTGCTGCTGTTGCTGCTGCTGCAGGCGCCGGCGCTTGTGTCTATACCGGCATTGCTGCTCTTGCTGCTCGTGTTGTCAATGGTGTTGCTGCTGGGACTTACACAGCAGCTGCTGGCTTTTCTGCTGCTGCTGGTGCTGCCCAGTGCTGCCTGCTGGTGTTTCTGCTGTTATGGCAGCCCTGGGCTACTTGCTGCTGCTACTGCTGCTGCAGGCCCAGATTTCAAGTACCCTCCCCCTGAGTCTGAAGGGGCGCTGGGCGCTTGCTACATGCAGCGGCCGTTTATTCCGTAGTGGTGGCAGCAACAGAACATTTGCAAGAAAACGATGCAGATGTAAAAAACAAATGCAAATTGAAAAGAAAACAAATGAAAATTGAAAAGAGAACAAATAAACACAAACATAAGCGGAGCAAACAACAGTAGAAATGCTGCAGCGCAGCGGCACCATGTGTCTAAAACAAAAGTGCAAAAACAAGTCCATAGATGATTGCACACAGCATAAATGTATACATATCCATATACACATATGTTGAGTTTAGTGCATATTTACCTTTCAACATACAGATTCATTAATATTTTAAATGGAGAATCTGCTTTACAAAAGACAGCACACACGCAGCGCCATGTGTAGGTTGTTCTTGCGGTTTTGCATTTGCATACATTTAAATCCCGTTTCTTTGTAGATATTTACTTGAATGTTTGCGGCGGGTAGCTCCTTCTAAAACGTAGACCCCGTAAACCCTAGCTCACCCCTAGAACTCAGGCCCAACCTAAACCCTAGAGGGTTTTGGGTTGCTGAGGCCCAGCTCTAGTTGCTGTTTCTGTTACTGCTCATCAGTAATACCACAAATAAGACCAGCTGAGGCTGCAGCAAATGGAACGAAACTTTTTCATTTCAATCACACTGAGTGGAGCTACTGCTAAGCCAAAAGAATAAAAGAACCTAGAGGAACCCCGGCTGCGGGGAACTGCCATACAAACGCAGAAAATGCCTCCTAGGAGCCTCGGCACAAATGAACTATTATGCAAAGATATTCCGATTGGAATCAAACTTAACAACATATGGTTTGGAGCAATGTGAGTTGGTTGCAACGCACAAAAAGTTTTAAGGAGGCGCCGCCAGGACAAGTAGGTAGCTGGGCAAAGCCGAAGTGGCAGTTGAGGCAGACTCTAGAGAGACAAAAAAATCTAAATGTCTGAAACCCTAAACAGAGAAACTTTTAAAGTGTGAACGGTGGGTTTTTAGCGTCGGTCGGTCACTTAGCCACGTAGGGCCAAAGCAAAAAGGAAAAGAAACAAAAAAGAGCCCCCAAGAGCCTCAGCAGCAAAAAGCTGCCGCCCAGCAGCTTTTTGCTGCTGGGAAGCAACGAACTAGTAGTAGTGGCGGTACTAAGAAGTAAAAAAATAATAGGAGTTACCTTAATCACAGCATAGATTACTGGCAGCTGCGACAATTAGTACAAACTGGTCTCAGATATAGCTGGCTCCAGCAGCACCTGAGCTTCTTCTGTTCCTTTCGAGGTGTATCTACTGCTCGATTGTTCTTCCCACTGACTGTCATCATAAATAGCATTAGTGGAGGCTGACTGGCTCGCTCTGCTGCTGCTGCTGCTGTTGCTGCTCCGCTGCTTCTGCATCTGGCGGCTGAGCAACACCAGCAGCAGACCTGATATTAGCCCAGCCAGCAGCAGCGACTCGACCTGCGGCGCTTCTGCTGCTGTTGCTGGGGCTGCACCTGTTGCTGCTGCTTTTATACCTGCTGCTGCGGCATCAGTCCCTGCTGTTGCAGCTGCCGTTTCTGTTTGCGCTCCCCCTGACTCCGCTTTTGTGTCTGCTTCTGGTGCTTCTGCGGTGCTGGTGCGACTGCTGCTGCTGCTGCTACTTTCGGCAAGCGCTGACCCCGCGAGCGCCTTTGTGGAGATGCCTGCATACAGGGATATCACTATCAACAGAAATAAAGATTAAAACAAAAAGTCAATTGGCACTCGGCATGAGCCCTAAACCTACATTTCCAAAGTACAGTCCACAGTGCGTCATAGCAAAGACCGAAGCAAAAGTACACACGAGTATGCGTAAACCCCTCGCAGCTAATAACGAGCCTCTGCAGCAGCAGCAGTAGCAGCAGCAGCAAGATGAAGTGTGTCCATGCGCCACCCGCCGCGCAGTGTTCGTGCTTGCTGCTGGTTTTTTTTATTGTCACAGAGCTGACCTGCGTCTTCGAGATCATGCTGCTGCTCTTCTTTCGCTGCTGCTGCTGCTAGAGCTTTTGCTTTTGCTGTTGCCTTTGTTGCTGTTTCCATGAATTCCCGTATAAAGGCCGCGTACTTCTCGCCCCCAACCCCGTAGGTGTTGTTGTGGGTGCCCCTTCGGACTTCAATTCTCCATTTCGTCTTCGCCCCGCACTCCTGCATGCGCAGAAAGAGACAGAAATATGAAATTAAGTAAAAATGAAACAAAATATTAATACGTATAATAAAACCGCACAGCTACAAAGTACATACACCGAAAAATCTACGGAACTGGGCGGATAATAAATATACAGGCAAGTGCGCACTCGTCTATTTTTGCATACTTAAGCCATACACTGTTACCTATACACATATATATATATGCATGCATATTAGTGAATTTGGAACCGTTGGAATATTGTACAAATGCATATAAACAGATTTACTCTTTAATAACAGCCACGGCAAAGAATTTATTTCTCGTCTTCAAAAGTGAGTAAGGAGCGCCTTTTCTGGCGGTGGTTTGCGATCTGACTCAATTTCAAAGAAATAACCCCAGACCCTAAAGAGGGGACCCTCAAGGAGGCCCCTTTAGAGGGACTCCTAGAGGAAGGGCCCTCCAAGAGGAGGCCCTCAGGGGGAGGCCCCTAGGCTTTGGCCTCTTCAGTGGCACTTGTGGAATATCGCTAAAAAGCCATGCCATATTTCTTACTATTTCTACTCATAATGCCCCTTTAGCGCTACTTTATTACCACTTCATCATACGTGCAATGTCACTTTTGCTGACATTATTATTATTATTGTTATACTATTTGTTTATCTAACTGTGTTCACGTTCTTTGGCTTAGTGCATCATCGAGAGCTCATCTGAAGAGCGAGAAGGGATCAGCTCATCGTACTCTTTTAATCATTCCTACTTCACCACTACTTCATTGTAATTTCACCATTATTACTATTATTATAATTATTATGGCTGAACCTTTTACTTGTTTCTGTTTCTACCACTGCCTTACCTCGTAGAGTTTCTCAGAATGGCTAGAAGGAATCAACTCATCATCAGTTCCCGAAGTGAATAAAATTGGGACTTTCAGCGAACGCACTTTGTCGATGCTCGCTAGTTTTATGCGCTGCGAAAACCCCAAACCCTAAACCCTAAACCCTAAACCCAAAACTCGAAACGCGGCATAACCAGGCAGGGCCTGCACTAACTTGAACAAACAGCCTGAGCCCTAAACCGTAAACCCAAAGGGTTTAACTCTAAATCCTAAACCCTCGCACACTTACCTGTATCATATTTAATATCCAGGTAACGCCTTTTGTAAATGGCAGCACATCGTGCAGGGCACCTCGAAGGGAAGTGAAGGTGTTTTCAACAACTACCCCGCTAATCTGAAGCAGAAACAGCGAAATGAACAAGCGAATTAAATTAAATCTAAAAAGAAAACTCGTCATCAACGGACAAAAGAAAAGGCCACGCAGTCAAAAGCCGGAGTCGCAGCCGACGCTGCGGCCTCCTCACTAAAACTCACAGGCAGAACCCAAATCCTAAACCCTGAACCCTAAACCCTAACCCCTAAACCCTGCGCACCTCATCTCCTCTGCGGCTTGCCAAGTCAATGGCAACAGCGCCGCCTAAACTGTGGCCAAACAGAAAAACATCTTTGTTGTTTACTTTTTGGCACTGCAAAATGTAGTCCAGCGCAGCATCCGCATCTGTATATACACCCTTTTCTGTAGGGACGCCTTGGCTGTTTCCAAATCTGAAAAAACACATAAAAGCATTTCTCCTTTCTCCTGACTCTGCCTCATTCCCAAGTCCACTTTAGTAGACCTTTATACCCGCTGACCACTGCTGCCACTGCAACAGCTGCAGCAACAGCAGCAGCAAGACCTTAAAGGCAGAAACTTCAGAGAAAAGCCCCAAAACCTAAGCTTCAGCATTTGCATCTGCACTTTTTCTTTCAAAACAAGCACAGCTGAATGCTCCCCTCAACTCAAAATGAATTAGTTTTGAACGCTAAAATGCGCATGCGCCTGCGCCGGTAACGGAAGCTGAGAAATGCCAAACTGAAACAATTAAATGGCGCATGATAACCCAAGATATTGAAAATCGAATTGAATAATAAAGCTAAAGAAATTAATTGGTTTATTCTCCCCATATTTGTGCCTCCTCACCCCCTGTAATCTACTACCAGCACATTGGCCCCCACGCCGCCCGCCAGGAAGTCTGCGTGGGGCATGTGAAATCCCAAGTCTGCAAAAGATGCAAAACAGGAAAAACAAATAAACTGCAGATTAAGAAAACAATTAACAAAACAATTCAAGATTAGAATGAACAAGACAGTAGCACTGGCGAGTTCGTCTTGAAAGCAAAAGAAAATTGCAAAAGGAAAAAGTTTCAAAAGAAATGCTTTAATGCCAATGAGAAATGAACTGAAGTCAGCCCAACACGTCAAATAAGAGCTGCACGTACACCCGAAATCAGGGCTAAACCCCAAAAACCACCAATGCATGCTCAACTAAGCAAGCCCAAATATGAAACAAAAAAACACCCTAGACCCAAACGACCTAAACCGTAATGATGCAACAAATGAAAGAGCAATTCACACACACATATACATTAAATTAAGTATAGACATATGCGCATATATCAATTTAACAATATTCATATACATATGTACAATATTAAATGTAGTTGTGAACATACTTCACGCACAATACTACTTGACAGTACAGTTTCCCTATGCTTCTGCATACAGTACATGCGAAGTATGCACAAGAGTAAAAAGATCACTGTATGTATATGTATAGAGGTGTACGTATATATATATTTATTTGTTATATATATTTGCAAATACATATATGCATATGTGGATATGAATTCTACGTAAAAATTGTACATATTATATACAATCATACGTATAGTGATACTTATGTAGACAGAGGGAAATAAACATATAACAATAGGACTGTATTTCGATATACAGAAAGATGCATGAATATTTATATTTATATATATACATATAAATACATGAGTTCACATGCATTTACATATTTATCTGGGAAAACGTAAACATTCGTCTCACTTGAGGCATTTCCGTGAAAGAATATAAAAGTAGGAACCTCCTGGGGTTTAGGATTTAGCAGCAGCCAACAGTGCAGCTTTATATTGTCCCTAGTTGTCAGCTCAATATCGTCGTACTTGTAGCCTGCGCAAACCTTAAACCCTAAATCCTTAACCCTAAACCCTCGAACCCGCTCCCAAAGCCAAAACCCTCAGCGTTCCTTAACCCTGAACCCCAACCCACAAGCATCAAGTCCAGCCTAAACACTAAACTCTAAACCCTAAACCCTTGGCCCACAACCAACCCCATTCTGCCGGGCTGCGTAGACCGCGAGGGTTTTCTTTGGGGGTCCTGTACTCAAAAGGAACTGCAGAAGACAGACAGAGCAATTGAAAAATTGTAAAACAAATAAATAAAAGGACCAATTATAACACAAACAACAAACAAAGAGAAAGCAACCTAAAAATTAAAAAAGCCAGAATTAAATAAACAAACAAGGAACAATCAACAAAGCTAAAATGGAAACGTGAAAAAACTGCAAAAAGCAGAAGCCCACAGCTGCTGGCTGTGTAGCTAGCTGGCTTCTGTGCTGCGCGGCTTGCCAGCAGCCGCTGCGGCGAGCTGTTGTATCAATGGCAGGCAAAGCTAGCTGCTAGCTGGCTAGCTAGCTGGGTATCCAGCTGGTCTGGCCAGCCAGCTAGTAGCACAACTGGCTGACATGGCTATCTCGCTTGCTTGCCAGCGCGCCAGCCACTTGCTGTGCCTAGCTAGCTAGCTAGCTAGCTTGCTAGCCAGCTAGATAGGCACAGCCGCGGAAGAAGTACGAAATCTCACAGTGCAGGCTGCATTAAAATAAGCAGGAATGGTAGAAGGGGAAAGAAAAGAACAAGTCCAAAGAAAGTAAAAGGAAAATAAATTAAAATAATTCAAATGAAATGAATGCTCTTCAGCCCCTGCTGACTTTGAGGGAAAAAAAGGAGCCTCTCTTGGAACCACCACAGCAAGCCTGAGCCACAGAAACACGCACGCGTTTCTCCAAGATGGCTAGCTAGCTAGCCAGCTAGCTAGCTAGCTGTTTATTTCGAAGGCTTGCCCTTTAATTCGCGAGGCTCAAATCCAGACAGTTACCTAGCTAAATGCCTGGTTAGCTAGCTGGCTGGGAGCACTAGGGACCAGCTACGCAGGTAGACAGCAACGCAACTAACGGATCAAATAGCCCAACAGCTAGCTGGCTAGCTAGCTAGCTAGCTAGCTAGCAGCTACAAATTCTTTCTAATGCATTTGTATGACATTCAAAGAGCATTAAAGGAAACATAGAGAAAAGACAAATAAAAGAGATTTTTTTTCTTACCAAGAGTAACCAGCAGCAGCAAACTGCCCACTAGGCCGACGCGAGACAGAATAACTCCCGCCCTAGAACACCGAGGCATCCTGGCTCCTAAACCCTAAACCCTAGCTCCCAAGACCTAAACCCTAAACCCTAAAGCTTGCCCGTCTGTCCTCCCAAAAAGCCTTGCAAAAATCCGTGCTTTCTCCGGGGACAACTGAAAAAAAGAGCAGATTCCCAGCTGCTCCTGCCGCTGCTGCTCTGCCACTGCTGTCGTTGCTGCTGCAGCCGCTGCTGCTGCTGCTGCATTAAAAAAAAGGCACCAGAAAACCCTCCTGCTACGGAGACTGTTGCAGTTGCTGGCGCTCCTGCTTCTACTACTGCTTCTGCTGCTGCTGCTGTGGCCTCTGCTACCGTTGCATTTTCACTGCTGCATTGTCGCCAAGGCCTCTCCTGTTGTCGCTGCTGCTGCTGCTGCTGCTGCTCTCGCTGTGCCCATTAATGCCGTTATTAGTGCTTCACCACCTGCTGATGCATGTCCTGCTACTGCTGTTGTTACTGCCTCCACCCCGCCCCCTCTCCAGAACGCATTCGGCTACCGCCGATGCTGCAGGGGAAAGTGTTCCTGTTTAGGCTTGTTGGGGAGCTGCTGCTGCAGAACGTGTTGCTTCTGCTGCTGCTGCAGCTTCTGCTGCTGCGGAGCGGAGCCTGAAGTCCGTGTTGCAATGGATGGCTCTGCAGCGCCAGTAGCTCCTGTTGCTGCAGTCGGTGGTCCACCGGTCAAATGATCACACGAGCATATTGGTACTTGTATTTGGAATCTATTTTGTATGTTAATTATTTGCCCTGTGGCATCTGTTTCCAGCAGTGGAAGCGGCGCTCAGGCGAGATCGTGCAGAGTCTCAATCCAGCACCGATCCGAGCATCGAATTCAGGCTTCTCAGAAAAGTGAACCAATAAGTCGCAGCAGACAGTTTCAAAAGTGCAAAAACATGTTTAATTAACTTTGAAAAATACCACAACAAGAGCACCCGCGAAGCAGAGTCTAGGGATTACACTAGTGAGCTGGTATTGTTGCATGGCATATTTTTCGGTTCCTCCCAGCTTGCTGAGCATGTGTTTCAGGACATATTTCCTTTTAAATGAGCTTAAACAATTTAATTCAGTGTACAAGCACAACTCAGGAAGTCTCTAGGTGGCATTTTTGCGTCACAGGGGCGCGAGACCCCATATGTGAATGGGCGACTCCCTGGCACGTTGCCAGCAAAGGCAAGAAATGTCCCTTTTTTGCAGCTTTCACACTGGAGCAACTGACTTTATAATGCCTTGATGCAAGTATTGAGGTTTTTATAGATTGTAGCTTTGGAATTGTTGGCTCTCCTTGCCAGGCTTTAGGTAAAAGTCAGAGTTTCCGACGAATAACTCATAAAGTTGGGAGGAAGCCTCGTGCCACAAGTAAAATACAAGAACGGCTGCGGTGCCACAGCCACAGACGCCTTGAGAGATTAAAGGAGTATTTTGAAAGAACTACCAGCCACCGCTCGAATAACAAGTGGCTCAAGAGTAGACCCACTGAAGTCCTCATACAATTCCTCACCATTTTGAGGGCAAAATGAACTCCTCTATCTACTGTTCTACTCCAGAGAAAGCGTTTATGGATATCTGCGCTAAATGCACCTTTCTACCAAAGTGTCTACTTAGTCTTTTAGTGTTTAGAGGCAGAAAGAACAACTGCTTGGCCTCAGCGGCTGTGCAAGAGCTGCATATCTGAAAGCTATTTCTTGCCCAATTGGCATGTCTACCTTGAGAAAGCAATGTATAGCGGAATAAGCCACGCAAAGTAATCTTTGTCCTTTTCTCGAGCTGAAGGCACCCCTGTTGCCCACGTGGAGAACCCCACACCCTCAGCCTTTTGACGTGCTGATTTGTAATTCGCAGCTTTGGTTAATATTGGTTTGTCTATAATCTCTCCAGAGCTTAATCTACGTTCTTTCAAAACCCCCTCAGCTGCTATTATCCATCCCTATCAATGAAGCTGTAGATTCGTCATTATTGCTCAGAACGCATTGAGTTCTCCCATCAGTCCAAGCTCGATTTAACCGCTGAAGTGCTCTGCGAATATTTCCAATGAAGTTTCGCCCTTGCTGTCCGGCTGTATTTGTGCTTGTTGAGCCCATTTTACACTGAAAGAAACCCTGTGCAGGTCCAAGGGTTCCACTAGCAACAGCATTTCCTTTTAGGAGTCGATGAAGAATTGACATTCTGTACCTCGGTTGTCGAAGCTCGCGCCTTGCAGCCTATGTTGAGAGCTGTCAGAACAGCAAAAGACGCTAGTTCGTCGATGGGCTTGCGCCTATATCCACAAAGCCCCAGTTTTGGCCAGATTTGAAGTCCCGCCTTCTGCTAGGCTCTATTCCACAAGTCCGCTACAGTCTTTAAACAATTTATTTACCGTAAACAGCCAAGCGAATGATAATGGGGAACTTCCGGCCTGCAGCCATTGGCTCCGGAGTGGCATCCCTGCTGTGGGCTCACTAGATCATAAATTGGCCCACCCGCGTGCATCAGGCATGCAGAAACAAATGCAAATATTTCAAACTTTTGAATTCAACTGTCAGGAGAGCCAGCAAGCAGCGCGAAAGCCGTACCCCTACACCCAGTTTCAGCTTGGGCGCAATCAACCCGTGGCATCCTGCTATACATTTGCCTGCTACTCCCCTGGACATCAGTTCATCCATGCATCAGTCACTGAAATCAAACTCAAACAGAGAAAAGTATTATTACTTCAGTTCTTCCCCACAATTTAGGTCGCGTTAACATTCAGAAGAGACCCACGCACCCCAGATCATTTTCTTTCAACTTGAACTGGCCAGCTTCCTCCCGTCTTCAGCCACTTTGAATAGTTGGCAACTGTTCTAATCTGCAGGGCGCCTTCCCGGACACTCTTCCTCCGTTCCGCAGCTGCCTGAGCCAAGAGATATCCCCCGGCTTCCCGTCGCCTGCAGTCAGCGGCGAAGGCTCTGCGTGCAAAAATGGAGGTGAGTGTCGAGCTTGAGAGGCCTGGCGGCCCGAGTACACCTTGGCCCAGGGGCAGAAGCTGGCCGAGCGGGGCTTCAACCCGGCAAAGAAAGGCATTTGAATTCATCTCTTCTGACTCTTGTCCGTCCGGCACCAACCCAGTTTCCCCCAAGAGCTGACGCTTGGGAACAGGCCTCTAGTGAAAATGCCGCCGAAGCTTCTCCGCGAAGCAGGCAGCTGTTTTGACGCACGGACAAAGAAAACTGCTTGTCGCCTTCAAGAGCCCGTTGAGTCTGCCCTGCTACAGTGAACTCCCCTGGAGCTCTTTCGCGTTGGGTTTGCCCGTGACAATGCGCATGCTTGCGCATGCAATTTTGGGGCTTCCAACAAACAAGTATTGGACACTCCTTCTGCACAGGCATGCGGCCGTTTTGGGCAGAGGCAGCAACAAAGTGAGTCTCTCTGCCTGAGTTCGAGAAAGCACCAGCACTTCCACTGTAGCAAAAGGACGAGTTGACGCTGAAGGCGTCTTTTACCCTGCCAGAAGTTGAAAGGGAGAATGGCCGAGGCTGCTCGACCAGTGTAGTGTTGTGCTGTTCATACGGAGAATCCGATCTAGTCTCTTTGTCATTTGGTACTACATCAAGAGGGTTTACTGCTGGCCTCTTTCCGCGAAAAGAGGGACTTTAGCTCCACCTGGAATGTAAGCGGCCAAAAGAGGAAGTCCCAGTTAGGGCAAGGAGCTGCGGCGTGTACCGCGTGGGCACTTAAAGCACCTTTAATAAGCTTATGTCTAATTCACTTTGCTTGAGGGCTCCTCCCTAATTGAGGGCTCTGAAGATGAGCTGGCTTGCCCTCCTGACTCAGACGGAGCTTAAGCTTACCTAGGAAGTTCATTTAAGAACAACCAAGGCATGCCTCTTTAAAGGAGCTGAGCTGCTTCTTAATATTCTAGCAACAGGCTTAAAAGCTCTCAAATCTGAGGAAGGGCACCAACTCACCTGATGCCTGTCCAGTCCATGCGGTCCTCCAGCGAGTCGACCCTCTATCTCTCCTAGTCCTCCTCTATGGTTAATGATTCTCCATAACTGCTATCACTGTCATCAGGTGGGGGAAGATGTGGGTCCATTTTAATGCTAATCTGCTAGAAGTAGCCCGGCTTGTTTTGCACTCTGTGGCTTTTCTTTTATAGTTTTGGTTTGCACAAAAGTACAGAAGTAGTCTCGGTGCTGTACAGAAGCAAGAAAGAATCCTTTAATCTATACAGCCAACCAGTGCTGCTAGAGCCTACTGCTGACTCTTCAGTACTTCTTCTGTTCAGTGAGTCCAGCAGTCTGAGGCAGAGCTCTCCCCAAATATCTCTTTCTGCTGCCCTGCGTGGCTCTAGCAACTATGCAGGCGTAGAAATGACAACAGCAAATTTAAAAGTCTATTTTGAAAGTTGAAATCGCTAGAAAAGCTTTCTTCCAGGCTCCTTGCAGCTCTTGCTGGCGTTCTTATGAGAACAACAACGGTAAGGCTAACCATAGGAACTCTATTATTGAGACTTCGGGTGAGCCAAAGTGGCAAAAAAGTAGAGTGCATGCAGTAGAATGCATGTACTTGTAATGCATGCAGTTGCAATAGAAGATGAGTGAAGAGGCCACGCTCAGGTAGCAAGCCTCTAGAGGGTGCCTGGGGCCGAATGGAAGCTAAACTGCTTCGAAGCAAAGCCAAAGAATGGAAGAGACAGGCTCTAAATTGGAGGACAAAAGACCTGAATCGAACCTCCAAACCATTTAGTTGATGAAATCTTCGACTGCATGCACACAGACGGCGCCCACCACTAGAAAGCAGAAGTGACCCCAGTCCTGATACTACTTTTTCGGTTTTGCACAAAGAAAAAAAGACTTGAAGTGGCAGGGCAGAGGCCAGAGATGTTTAGCTATAGTTCCAGGCCTCCCGGGGCCACAGTGAGGGTTCTTGCGGGCGCTTTGGCTTTTGTGGGAAAACTAAAAAGCACTTTTTCTAGGCGTTGACTCAGCGAGAAATGATGAGGGGGAAATCCCGCAAGACAGCTCCGAAAACAGAAAACTAGAGGCTCCTTTAGCCTTCTAAATCAACTATTGGCAGCTAGTTGCTGCATGAAATGAATAAAAGGTTATTTCCTGTTTTCTTCTTCTCCCAAACTTGGGCTGGGCACTTAGTCTAGCAAGTGGCTCGGCGGAGTTAGCGTAGCAGGGCAAGAAGAACCGCGAAATTAAATTCAAACTTTAATAAAGGGTGGATAATGCTAAAATGGAGAAGTGAATTGCAAAGAAATGCATGTACTGGTGGGAACGAGGAAAGGGGAAACCGGACACGGGCCTGCCCAGCGTTGAAGCGCGCAAGGGCTGCGTTTTTGCGCAGAGTTGATGGAAAATACTGCTTCTAATTCACTAATCCTTCAAATTAAATTGATTTTGAGAGGGGAAACTAGAAAAAAGTAGAAACTTGAGGTGTATGCAGATTGGAGGCTGAAGAGCCGATACTGCGAGCGGCAACGCGAAGACACTCTACAGCGTGATCTGCGCTTAATCGAGCGCCTTAACCCCAATATTATTTTGTAAATGTCTTTGTTTTTGGATTTTGATCCCAAGAGTATGTCATTTATCAATTTTGACCCCCTTTCCCCCCAAGGCTGGGCAAAGGCACAGGCGCTGGCACCCTAGCAGCACTCAGTGAGCGCGGGAGCCGCCAGACCCTACCTGCTGCAAACCCCTCCTTTTTATTAATTAAATAAACTCTAAACTTTAGAAATTTGAGAAAAAGCTTCTTACAATTGGTTGTAGGGGGCCCCCGATCTCCAGAAACCGCTGCGGCGCCGCTGGCGCAGCATCGGTTGTTCTGGAAATAGGGCCAAAAAGCTGAAACCCTAAACCCTAAACCCTAAACCCTAATTTGGCATACAAATTGAGTTCTCTGGTGAACGAAACCGAACGTTGGGCTCGGCTGGCAGCAGCGCTCGGTCTGCCTCTGCCGTTTTAAGGGAAAGCACAGGCCGGAGTTGCTCTGCGACGAGGGTTCAGGGTTTACGGTCTAGGGTTTAGGGTTTAGGGTTTGACGTGCGCGGAGCCACGCCGTTGCTGATGATGCTGCAACCGACAAGGCAGGGTTTATCATTTTAGTCCGTGCGCCGATGGGGCCCCGCTGGAGGCGATTCTTTGCGATTTGCTGCTGCTGCTGCTGCAGCAGCAGCAGCACCGCTGCTGCTGCTGCGCGCGCAGGCGAAAGCAGCGAACTCCTCTACCAGCTCTTCAGCAACTTGCATGCAGCAACAGACCCGCTGGAGTTCTCTGTGAGCTTCTACAGAGTGCCCCACCACCTAGCCACTTGGGGGCGTTCAATAGCAGAACAAATCAGACAAAGTGAGGGTTTAGGTACCCTTCAGGAGCTTCTCCAACCCCAGGGGGCCCCTGGGGGCCCCCTGGATGGCCCCAAGGGGGGCCCCCAGGTGGGCCCTCCCGGGGGCCCCCTGGGGAGCCCCCAGGAGAGCCCCACACAACGCGCCACTGGGGCCCCCGTATGGGGCCCCCAGGGGGGCCCCCACCGGGGGGCTTCCGGGGGGCCCCCACGGGGGCCCCCAGAGGGGCCCCCCAATGATGACATTACTTATCTTGCGTACAATGGCGAAGGCGAGGGTTTAGGGTACATTTCAGGGTTTGTTGAAAAGGATACAGCGCATTTGAAAGTGTTTAAAGTGGCTGGGGGCCCCAACGCCGGCTTCGTGGGTACGACGCCTGCAAACCCTAAACCCTAAACCCTAAACCCTAGGCGTTTGGCGGGAAGCGGAGGCTGGGCAGGGCTGGGCGGAGCGGCGTCTCGCGAGCCCGGAAGTCTCGAGCCTTCGAGGGTTTAGGGTTTAGGGTTTAGGGTTTGCGTGCGTGCGCAGAAGAGCAGCTGCTGCTGAAGTGGCTTGCTGCAGCAGAAGAGGAAGGGGCCCTGGAGGTGACAGCAGCAACGCCAGCGTCTGCTGCTGCTGCAGTGCAGCAGCTGCTGCGGCTAGGATTTAGCCCTGAGGGTTTGGAGGCCACCGCAGACGTAGCAGCAAACCAGCAGCAGCAGCAGCAGCAGCAGCAGGGGCCCCTGGCCCCCAGGTGGGCCCTCCAGGCCGATGGGGGGCCCCACACAGAAGAGGGGGGCCCCCTGGGTACCGCGGGGGCCCCCTCTGGGGGCCCCACAGTGCCTAGGGGGGCCTCCCAATATGGGGAAATGGGGCCCCCAGAGGCTGAGGGGCCCCTCTCAGATAGTGAGGGGCCCCGCTCAGAGGAGTGGGCCCTCTCAAGTATCTCGGGGGGCCCCCACAGTGGGCTGTGGGGCCCCACACATGGCTTGGGGGGCCCCCACAGTGGCCTGTGGGGCCCCACAGATGATTTTGGGGGCCCCCACACTGGGCTGTGGGGCCTTACATATGATTTTGGGGGCCCCCACAGTGGCCTGTGGGGCCCCACAGATGGCTTTGGGGGCCCCCACGATGGCGCGGGGGGCCCCCCAGCTGAGGGGGCCCCCACAGTTAATTGGCGGTTGACTTTGCCTTACGACAATGGCCCCAGTAGCTTTACTCTAGAGCGTTTGGCAGAAATACGTAAACCCTAAACCCTAAACCCTGATAAACCCTAAACCCTAGTAAACCCTATACCCTAAAAGCGGGTTTGCAGAGTGCCGTTAGCTGGCTTCCGCCCGAGGCAGGCAGGCAGTGCGGGCACCCTCGGAGCCATCAAAACCGAGGGTTTAGCGTTTAGGGTTTAGGGTTTAGGGTTTAGGGTTTGCGGGGTTTGTATGCTGCAGGAGATGTGTTGCTGCCCCAAGCTATTTCTCTCGCTGCTGCTGCAGGCAAGCAGAAAGGCACTTTAAATTCCTTAAAGGAAAAATATAAAAATGAATAAATAAAAATAAAAATTAATAAAAATTAATAAAAATTATTAATAAAAATAAATGATAATTTAGAATGAACAATCCAGAAATCCAATGAAAAAAAATCGACAAGAAAATGAACAAATGCAGAAGGAAAAAAAGGAAAAGTGCTAACAACCAAAAACTAAAAAACAAATAAATGATAAACAAATGACGAAAATAAATAAATAATGATTTATTTAAATATTGCTTTATTTGTTTTTATGATTTGTTGATCATTTATTCGTAACGAATAAACGATAAACAAATCATACAAATAAATAAAAGATAAATCAATTAAAACAATTGAAATCCGCAAAAAGTAAAATGTAAAGCCCTCGACAGTGCGCAGTCAAAAGCACTTTTTAATTTTAAATGCATTAATGGATCTATTTTAATTTTAATGAAAATGTTCCAACTTTAACTCAAAAAACCTTTTATATCTTTTAAAAAGATTAATTAAGTTATAAAAATGCGTTTATTTGTCATTTCTTTTTTTTCAAATTCTGCATGTTGTGCGGGCCCTGAGGTGTACATACACCCCAGGCGCTCTAGGCCTTGTGCGGGCCTCATTTTGCATTTTAATAAACTGCATTTAAAATTTTAATATTTATATATTTAAGGAGGAAATGTTCTTTTGAATGCTTTTAAAGAGCGTTTAAATGCTCTAAATTCTTTTAAAGAGTTTCAGAACGCTAAAAAAATGTTTTCAAGTGCTTTAAAAGACCATTTAAATGAATTTAAGAGCAACTTAGCTCCATTTAATTGTTTTTAAATGTTTTTTAATGCTATAAGGTACCTATTTGGACATCTTTATTCAGCTCTTACTCTGTTCTTTTGTTTTGTTTAATGCAATAATGAATTATTCAAACGAAATCCTTTAAAATGCACTTTTGCTGCTGCTGCAGGCAAACATCGGAGGGCCCCCCCTGTAGAAGTGGTTTCCATCGAGGTCCCGGGGGGCCCCCAAGACTGTTCCGCCGATAGATTTTTGAATTCAATTGCTGCTGCGCTGCAGCAGCAGCAGCAGCTGCAGCAGCAGCAACAGCAGCTGCCGCAGCAGCGGGAAAAGCAGCAGCAGCAACACCAGCACCAGCACCATCACCAACACCAGCAGCACCTGCACCATCACCACCAACACCACCAGGAGCACCAGTATCCGCAGCTGCAGCAGCAGCTGCAGCAGCAGATTACGGAAAGGCTTGAAGAGGAAATGAAAAGAAAAGAAGAAGAAATGATGCAAAGAGAAGCAGCAGAAACAATTAAAGACGTTCGGGCTTTTGCTGCTGCTCTCAAACATGGAATTCCCCACGGGCACACCTTGCTGGGCAAGTTCAAATATAATTAATTAATTAAATTAATTAAATGATCAAATGAAAAATTAATCAATTAATTAATTATATATTTAATTATGTATTCACTTTACTTTTAATTCTATAATTAACCTATTAATTTGTTTATTGACTCAAGTCGTTAGGCTCTTATTGATTTGCCATTTGCCGCTGCAAATGGCAAATTACTGAAAGTAAATAAATCAGCAAGAAATGGCAAATAAATGAATATCTAACAATTCAGAAGGAAATGAATAAATAAATAACAAATAAATAAATAGACAAATAAATAAATAATAATAAATGGCATCTAGATGAGCAAATAATAAAGCAGCAAATGAATGATGAACAAATCTGAATTTGGTTCATATGTCAGTCTCCCGTTGTTTGATTTTCGTTTTTTTTCGATTTTTTCCCATTTAAATGATTATTTTGAAAGTAAAACTACAAATACTCTTTTTAATTTCGAAAACTGGAAAAAAAGAATTAAACTTGGCGGAAAACGGAAAACCTGAAGCTGAGTGTACACTGCGCGAGTTTGGGGTGTACGTACACCGCAGCGAAGACCGCAGGCCCCGAAAGCCGAACTGTCGGAATTTTAAATTTTGAAATAAAAGTTCCAAAAGAAGCTCAAGTAACTCATTTGTTTCTTTCTTCAGACGTCGAAGAGTATGCAGGCAAGCTTGCAAAAGAACAAATAAATAAATTCAAAAATAAACAAAAAATAAAAAAGGGGAAAATTTTAATATCTCATTTTGAGCTTTTGGAAAGAAAGTGCAAATTGGATTTTTTGGAATTAAAATCGATTTGTAAATTTGGGTGTTTGTTTGAATGTGCAAACATAAGTATAAATGCAAATATAAATAAACATAAACATAAATATAAATATAAATACAAATATAAATGCATATAAATATAAATGCAACTATAAATGCAAATATAAATGCATATATAAATACAAATATAAATGTAAACAGGAGGAATAGAAAAGAAGTTTAATTGAAAATGCAAGAGCGAAGAGAACAAAGCAATTGAGAGTCTGTTTCTGTTGCTGCTGTGCTGCTGCTGCTGCGCTGCTGCTGCTGCTGCTGCTACTGCAGCGTCGCTGCTGGCAGCAGCAGCAGCAACTCGCGCGTGGCGCCTGGGGCTCTCCTCCATTTCTTTATTTGTCCCAAATGCTCAAGTTGGAGTTTGGAGAGCTTTTAGTTTGTCGGGTTTTGAATTAATTGCAAACTCAGAAAAAGTCTTCAAAATGCAGAAACAGCTGTCTGTACACCCCAGAGTGCCCCCCAGCGACTTCCTCGCCGCCCAACGCCTCGGTCAGTTCTATTTATTTATTTATTTATTTATTTTAATTAATTAATTAATTAATTAATTAATTAATTAACGTTTTATTTTGTTTAGTTACTTTTATTATAAAGCGATTTAATTCAAGTGGTTTTTTTTTCGGCAGAAGTGAGCTTTGCTGCTGCGAACCACACATATTATATAAATATAAATATAAATATAAATGTAAATATAAATATAATTTGAAAATAAAAATAAAAATAAATATAAATATAAACATAAATGTAAATATAAATGCAAGTGCCAGATGTAACTCTGTACTTGCCCAAACCCCACAGTGAGGGTCCAAGCTACACTGCTGCTGCTGCATCAGCAGCTGCTGCTGCAGCAGCAGCCGCTGCTGCTGCTGCTGCTGCAGCTGCTGCTGCCTGCAACTTAGGGTCTGTCGAGCGACAGGGTTTATGCATTTAACATTTATTTCATTTTATTATTTTTAATTTTAATTTTTAATTTTGTTTTTAATTCCTCTTTGTTGAAGCTCCTCCAGTGGTGCCCATGCCCATGGCAGCCTGAAAGCAAAAAGCCAACTCGAGGGTTCAGGGTTTAGGGTTTGCTGGGTTTGCGGGGATAGGGACCTTCGTCGCGAGGACAACAGCATCGAGGGTTTAGGGTTTATTTATGAGGGTTTAGGGTTTATCGAGGGTTTAGGGTTTGCTGAGGGTTGACGGTTTACTGAGGGTTTACAATCTGGGCCCCCAGGGTTTGGGCTTCTCTCTAGGGTTTAGGGTTTAGGGTTTAGCCCGGCTCTAGGGTTTGGCACTGCGTGCGCCCCTGGGGTTTGCTAGGTTTTAGAATTAGGGTTTGCAGCCCCAGGCTGGAGCTAGGGTTTAGGGTTTAGGGTTTACTTTGAAGCTGTCATAGATCCACCACTGCAAACCCGTGAGGGTTCCAATCATCAAAACCCTCGTTCCTAAACCCTTCGTGAAGAGTTGCCGGTAGCCCACGTCCCGGGCCATTTGTCCAAAGCTGCGCGCAAACCCTAAACCCTAAACCCTAAACCCTAAACCCTAGAAAATCCTAGGCCCCAAACCCTGGGTGCGGCGGGCTCAAGGCGCCCGCTGCTGAACTCCGCACACAGCGCGCTCCTCCAAACCCTAAACCCTAAAACCCTAGGAAACCCCAAACCCTAAACCCTAAACCCTAAACCCTCACCCCTTTCCTTTGTTCTCCTCCTTGCCCATGAGCGAGACCAGAGAATCCGCCGGGTGAGAAACCACCGCGCAAACAATTCCAGAAAGATATCCTAAATAAATGGAAATAAAAATAAAAATAAAAATAAATAAATAATACATAAAAAAAATAAAAATAAGTATAAATAAATAGAAATAAACAATTAAAATAAACAAAATAAATAAGATAATAAAAATTGGTATATTAATTGATTAAATGGATTAAAATGAATCCAAATTTTTAAGAAAACGAAAATGAGGATGATAGTGAAAAACTCAAAAAAAAATGGAAATTGAGAAGTTAAATTAAAAATAAATAATAAACAGAAAAGAAATAAATAAAAAAGAAGAAAATAAAAACAAAAGGCTATAAAAGAAATGAAAGAAATAAAAAGAATTGAAATAATTTTAAACAAAATTTAAATAACTTAAATGCAATTAAAAATGCCATTTAAAACACCATTAAAATGCAATAAAAAGTACCATTTTAAATACCATTTAAGTGCACTTAAATGGTATTTAAAATGCATTCAAAATGCCATATAAATGCAATTTAAAATACCATTCAGATGCATTTAAATCCAATTCTAAATGCATTTAAAATACCATTTAAATGCATTTAAAATTGGATTAAAAATGCCATCTAAATGCATTTAAAATGCCATTTAATGCCAGTCAAAATAATATTTGAATGGCATTTAAATATCACTCAAATATCATTTAAATCCCCTTAAAATGCCCTTTTAAAATGCCATTTGAAATGCCATCAACATGCCATTAACATGCCAATAAAACCTCCTTAAAAACCCTCCTAAACCCTTCTTAAACCCTCCCTATACCCCCCTTCAAACCCCCTTAAAACCTCCCGAAAAGCCCTCGAAAAACCCTCGCAAAGCCCCTTCTAAACCCTCGCAAAGCCCCGCGCTAAACCCTCGCAAAACCGCTTCTAAACCCTCTCAAAACCCTCGAAAACGGCTCACCAGAAGCAAAAGTAATTCCGAGTTGCGTGGCTTTTGAATAACTATCTTTTGGCTTTGTGAAAACTTTGTCATAAAAAGTTTCCACAATTTTTTCGAAGAAGAAAAACTTGGCCATCGTGTAGGGGATTTGGCGACTCCAGAGGGGCACCACGGAGCCAAACTGCCACGCAAACCCTAAACCCTAAACCCTAAACCCTAAACCCTAAAGCATGGATCCTAAACCCCTAAATCTACTAGCTAGCTAGTTAGCTAGCTGGCTGGCTACCTAGCTAGCTGGTTGGCATTCAGGCTAGCTCGCTGGCCAGCTGGTTAGCTAGCTGGCTATCCTATCTGGCTATTTAGCTAGCAGCAGCAGCAGCAGCAGGAGCAGCAGCAGGAGCAGCAGGAGCAGCAGGAGCAGAACCCTTATCGTCTCCATCACCACCATAAGCAGCAGGAGCAGCAGCAGAACCCTTGTCGTCTCCATCACCACCATCACCATCACCATCAGCAGCAGCAGCAGCAGCAGCAGCAGCAGCAGCAGCAGCAGCAGCAGCTGACGGGGAACTTGGTCTCGCGGCGGAGGCGGAGCATCTCCCTGGCTGCGGGCGCGAGGCTGCGGGGCCAGAGGCCGCGGGGACTTGTTTGGATTTTGACTTTAATCATTTCGAAGGGACAAAGCGCCAAGTCGGCAATGAACTCGGCAGAAGCAGCAGCAGCAAGCCAGACGAGGCCCCTGCTGCTGCTGCTGCTGCAGCAGCGCTCGCCGAGCAGGTTGCCGTAGCAGTCCTTGAACAGCTCGTAGCAGCCGAACTTGAAGAGGCCCTGCGCGCCGTAGCCGCACAGCGTGGGCCCCCAGCCCAGCCAGGGGCCCCGGGGCCCCTCCTGCTGCAGCAGCAAACGAAAGCCCTGCAGCAAACCCCTGTACTCCTGCGGCTGCACCTGCATGCGGCACTTCACCACGTCCAGCGGGCACACGGCCGTGTGCGTCAGCCCGCACGACAGCACGCCCCCCAGCATGCACTTGAGGTAGTAGCTGCTGCTGTGGGGGCAGGGGTGCGGTTTGCGGCTGCCGGCTTCGCTGAAGCGGGCGTTCCAGGGCGCCGCTGCTGCTGCTGCTGCTGCTGCTGCTGCTGCTGCTGCTGCTGCTGCTGCGGGGGGGGGGGGCGCGGGGCCTGGTTTCCGCGGCGCGGGCGCCCCCGGGGCGGCGTTTTCCGACATTTTCAACTCCGAGTTCG